TATTAGTTAATTTTGGTTTGATTATTTAGTTTTATAATTAAAATAACTAAGGTTTTGGTAAAAAACTACATTTTATGTTAAAGTGGCTAAACATTGCATTTTATGGATTTTTATGGTAAAAACTTCATATTTTGTAGGTTTAATGATTCAATCATCAAATGAAATGCATTGGGAAGATATTTGGATGATTGAAGATGAAGTTAAGTGGTGAAAATAAAATATGAAGTGTAAAAGGAAAAATGCAAGAAAAGTCAGGTTTGACAACTCTGACACGTTTTGGTATTTTGACTATATCTGGAGCTACACAGATCGGATCAAGGTGATCTTGGTACCATTTTGAAGCTAAGAGATAGATCTAAATTCGGTATAAAGACATCAAAGTCCAATTCAGCCGTTTTCATAGTGAAAAAGTTGAAATACCAAAATTCAACTCAGCTGTCCAAAGTGGAAAACAGAGCTCCGACCAGTCTATAGTATTTCGGTCATATCTCAGGCTACAAAACTCCAATTTGGATGATTCTTGAAGCATTGAAAAGCTAACTCAAAGGGCTACAACTTTGGTGTTTTACACAAAAGCCAGTTCGGCCTTTATGATAGACACAATCGCAGATTAAGTAAGGCCAAAGTGAATACGCGAGTACACAAAACGTGACTTGTAACCGCGTTTTGTGTAGGCGCGTTTTCTGGCCGAAATTCTGCAATTTGACTCAGCCATTTCCCTTGTGTTCATACCACTTTCCAGCTATAAGATGCAAGGGAATTCGGTGCACATGCTTCAGAAGACAAAATGGCAGACAATATGGCTTATTTTCAAGTAAAAAACAATGGTTTTTGACTATCTTAACAAAATGAGATTTGAAGAATCATAGCAGCAAATTTGGACTGGGAGAAGAGGAACTTTTCATGAGTTTATATGCAGAGACAGATATTCATTCATTCATTCATCATACGGGAGAAGCTTGAAGAGGCAGAAATGTAGTTCTTTCATTTCCTTAGTGTAGGATAGTGTAGTAAGTGTAGTTAATCCATTCTTGTATAATAGCTAGATTAGGATGAAGATGGAGATGAAGAAGGAGAAGTTGAAGCTCAAGTGACATGGGTTATCTCTACTCCAATTCTTTATCTTTTGTGTTGGATTCTTAACTATGGTTATTATGCAAGTTCTGGAATTTATGTCTATTATGTGTTTCTAAAGTTTATGCCTTGGGTTTGGTTGAACTTTCTATGATTGTTAGTGTTTATCATTTGGCTATTTAACTGCTATGATTTGAGCAAGTTATTTAGCACTTTAGCTCTTTAAATCATGATTAATCTGGTACCATTAATTGTGATTATCTAAGATGTTATTTCTGCAATGAAAATTGAGATTTAACATTAGTTCAATAAGTGCTAAACATGGGGAGTACACTCACGAGAGTAGATGTGCACCTATGGGGTTTTGGTGATTAATTTCATGTAATTTCATTGAAGAAATGAACTTGTAACTAATTTCATAACCATGAGAATAGGTATGGATTGGTTATTAGTATAATTGATTCACTACGAAAGTAGGATTCAAATGCATAAGGAAATTACACCATAACTAGCTTAGATGTAGTACTCAATGATCCAAAAATAGCACTTGCATGAGTAGCTAGGGATACCACAACCTAAGGAGCTTTTATTTGTTATTTTGTATAATTTCAGTAGGTTAAATTTGTTATAATTTATTGATAGTCTAAATAATAGAGAAGCTTTAGTAATACCGGTAATTGTTCACTCTTCCTTGTGGGATCGACCCGATATATACCCTAAACTACTAGTTGATCTGTATACTTGCAGTGAACGGGTGTAATTCGGTATTTTTTAGCTTGCACGTATGTAAAATACCCGTCAAGTTTTTGGCGCCGTTGCCGGGGATCTTGAATCATTTCCAGTAGTCATAAAGAGACTCCTCAGGATGCTGTGTAATGCCATGTATCTCTTTCCTCAGACTGGCAGCTCTGGATGCAGGGAAATATTTTTCTAAAAACTTCTTCTTTAGCTGTGCCTAGGTTGTGATACAACCTGCTGGCAGATAGTACAACAAATCTTTTGTCGAATCCTTAAGAGAAAAAGGAAATGCTCTCATTTTTATCTGTTCTTCAATAATCCTAGGTCATACTTGTGCACACAACATCAAATTCTCGCAAATGCTTATGGGGTTCCTCACCTGAAAGACCATGAAAAGGCGGTAAAAGGTGAATTGTACTAGATTTTAATTCAAAAGGGGTATTATCAGCTAAAGCAGGAAAAGTGATGCAAAGTGGTTGTTGGTGTAAATTTGGGGTAGCCAACTCCCTCAAAGTTCAAGCATTAACCATGACGACGTATTCTTGATCAGAATCGCTCAAGATGGCACTAAAAGAATCCGCCAATTCGAGTTCTAAATGGAACCTCGGAGATGCAGCAATTGATTGCTCCTCTTTGTGTTTTCTAGTCTCCTTTCTTACTCTACATGGAATCTTCTCTATTTTAGAATCGAAAATTAATTCACCTGTACAAAAAAATGGGGCATAAAATAGAAAAGTACTAGAAAATTAAAAATAAAATGAATTTAAAAATATACAAATTAACTAACGCCAGTCCTCGACAACGGCGCCAAAAATTGATAGGTGTCGAGCCTGTACAATAATGAATACCTATAAGAAAAATATAAATTTTGTATATAGGGTGAGAAGGATCAAATCCACAGGAACTGGGGATAATTCATTTCTTCTAAAGCTCAAAGTTTGGGAAATTTTTATATAATTGAGGATAATTAAACAATTCAAATAAATTAAATAAAATAAAAACTAAATGACAATTTAACAAAATTAAATCAATTATGAATAATCTCTAACCAAAAAATAATTTCGAAGATGATTCACTCAATTGATCATCGATGCAATGATAATTTCATTTATTCGCTGATAAATAAGTTATAATGGTCAAACATGCAATGATAATCAACTTCTCCTTACTATATCAGTGATCATGGTACGACCATTAATCACTTCCCTAATCAAGAAATAACCCTAGGTACGATCATAGAGTTCAATTTCCCAATTGTCTTAAGAATTAAAGAAACCCTGTTTTAGCCAAATAACATGCTACGAGGGTTATTTTAAGTTAGTTCATATATCTTTCTGACACGAATCAAATCATACCAGTCACCACTAATTTAAAGTAATTAAACAATTACGGATTTAACTGCTCTAACTGGTTTTAGGTTATTAGTTTAAAATAAATATCAGACATCCTTGATATTTAAATAAAATAATAACCGTAAGAAATTAAATCAGAGAACATACGAATATCAGTAAATAAAAGACATAAAAATAATCAATTCGTTTTCACAATTTTAGATGAATCAATTATCCTCTGTTATTTCTTGACTAGAATAAGAAGTTTATCTCATCTCCATGGAAAACGCCACGCGCGAAATATTGGAGGTTATTGCTGCGGCCATGCTTCCCAAAAAGATGAGATGAATTCCCGAGGAAAAGAGAAAGAATTCCGTCCTTTCGTTTCTTCCTGAGAATAAGAACAATACAAAACCCAAAACTACTACAACTACTTTATTTGGCCTGAGAAAAAAAGATAAGATAAGGCAAACGATAATGCCTTTCTGTCCTTGCTTCCTAATATTAGTAAACTACTATTACTTAGCCGAATCAAAGTATAACAAATCTCATCTTATCCGAAAAGGAAGAATACTTCTCAACAAACAAAGTAGCTAGTGTCCTAGTTGAAATCAAATACTATCTATCTGATGGAGCATCCGACTCTTGCAACTTCAATTCGAATTTTAGAGATCATGTACCAAATCCCGATCTTCCCGGACATATAGAGTTAGACCTTGACATGCCTATGTCGAATTGCATAGAAATTTGGTAAAAATTATGTTTTTAGTCCCATTTTTCTCTCTCGATCCCTACAACCAACACAATTACCAAATAAAAGTAGTATCTGTCAATTAATGGAATATTTGGTTGAAATTAAAGGGAAAACAATTGTGAATTTTATGACAAAAATGTAACCTATCAATATGTGAAGTCAAAATCCAATCACCTTTTAATCCTGCTTTTTAGATAATGTGTTGTATACATACTACTTCATTACAGGATATAATTTGGTAGATTATGGATTTTGATTTTCTTTTTTATTAAAAATTTATAATTTAAATACAAACAGAAAGAACATAAATTAAATAATTATTCAAAATTAGAATCTATAATCAGTATAAGTAATCGAGTAAGAGTGACATTTCATAATTTGTATGACGCATTTTTTTAGTTATCTAAGATAAGAAATGCATGAATTTGTGTTAACGACTTACACAAAAAAAATGTATTTGTGTGATTTAAGATACAAAGAGATAATTTCCAACTCAGCAAATAGATTTTTAAGTAGCTAAGTATCAGCTCAACATCTCAAGTATATTGATAAATTTATATGTTGCTAGCCATAGAAAAATTGAGTACAAAATATACGTACCCAAGAGCTTTTAGTGTTGATCACATGAATCACATTTTAGTGCAGTTAAAAAACAAGCTCCAAAAATACTTCGGAACTAGGGGGTTTGGGATCTGCCAACGTGATATTAGTGTTTTTTTTTTTACTTACCATACATGCCTGAAAACTTATTACTAAAACAACGACTTTTATCAATACCTGTTCCCTATAAATAGAGGCTCTTTGCCATTTAGTAAAAATTGAAGGAAATAATTGTAATCATACGAAACCTCAAGGGTTGTCCGTGCAATTTATTGTTTTAACGGTTGGTTACCCACTTCTGCTTCAAATATGTATCCAAATCCGCAATTATTAAGGATTACTAATTCCTACTGCTATGAGGAAAAAGATTTCCCCACGCTAAGCTAACCAGGCTGATGGTTGGTTTTAAGGATCATTAAATCATCGATTGAAGTTTGGCTATTCTAAGTTCAACAAAAACGTCTTGAAGTTTGGCTATTGTAGCAGCTAATTGTGTGCATTCCATGGAGAAAAAGGCGAAGAAGGCCCGTAGTGCACCACCGCAGTCGCGCCAGATGGTGAAAGCTTCTCTCCTCTCGTCTCCCTTTTCTTTTGAGATTGTTTATTCATGAGTTTATCTTATTTGCCACACTGCTGCGTCTTGGGCTTATCTTATCTATCAGCTTCTTTAATTTTTAGGGGTTTTCATTGAAAAATAATCATAAAAAGATGAATTGTTCATTCTCCTTTGTTGCCTTTTAAATTATCAAGTACTTTGGAATATGAAATCACGTCTTCTTTCGCTAGCTATATATCCAATATTGGATATTGGCAGCGGGGGCATATTACTTTGCATGTTAATCTGCACCTGCGTTTTTGTAGATAAATATCTGATCAAAACTTGTATTTCTTACTATGTTGATTGTGTCTTAGAGACTAAGCTTTACTTTTTTTTTTTTTTAACTATACAACTTGTTCAAACCTGTCTTTTGAATGTGGAAATATTGCTTTTGCAGGATTGGATTGATCAGTTGCCGGAAGAAATTCTGGGAAACATATTGTCACGCATGGCGATGAAAGAGGCAACAAGGACAAGTATCCTTTCTCGTAGGTGGAGGAACCTCTGGAAAGTTTATGGTAGCCATTTGGATTTTGATGCATCGGAAACAATGCGGCTTATGTTCGATGGGGTTAAAGAACGCCACATCGAAGCACCAAAATATCGAGATTGGGTTAATCAAGTCTTAGATTCCCATGAAGGTTCATCATTAGAACGACTGAGAATTGCTTTTGACTTGGGCGGGTCATATATTTATGCAACTGCTGTTGATAAATGGATCGACTTTGCCATCGTGAAAAGAGTCCAAAGGCTTGAAGTGGATCTGACTGCAGCTGCCGGATGTTATACGTGTTCTGATAGTGTCTATACTTTCCCGTCCTGGTTGCTGGATTTACCTTCTGATTTTCCGAGTTTTGACAGACTAACAGTCCTGTGCTTGAAGTCTGTTTCGATAACTGAAGAAGATCTGGCATACTTCTTATCAACATGTCCTTTCCTCGAGCAACTAACGGTGGAAAATTCTTCCTCTCTGCAAAACTTCAGAGTTTCGGGTCAGTCACTCAAGTTGAAGCACTTGGAGATTGGATATTGCCAGAAGTTGCAGAATGTTGAGGTTTCAGCTGCAAGTCTTGTATCTTTCAAATACGCCGGGCCAAGGATAAACATATGCCTAATAGAAGTTCCAGAACTCGCTTTAGTTTCCTTTAGTAATCAATACTGTGAGAAGTTCATCATCAATTCTCCAAGTTCTTTGTATCTCTCTCGGCTGGAGAAACTGGAATTGGATCTGAGGTTCACGGTAATATCGATTAACAGTTTCTGCATTTTTATTTATGTGCTACTTGTTTGTCTTTGTTTCCTAAATTGTTCGCTAGTGCTGGTTTGCTTTTAACCATTAACTTCTGCTTTTAACATCTCGAGTGTAGGGTTCAGCAAGATGCGTAGGTTTTCCATCTAATTTTCCGAAATTCAGCAACCTTAAGCACTTGGAATTGAAATTTGTAGCAGTTGCCGATGAAAGTGCTCTCTTCTTCAGCTCCATCATAGGTGCATCTCCTGGACTAATTACGCTGACATTGAAGTATGACATTGATTGGGCAACAAGACACCAAACCTTATCAAATCCAGAAGTATTTAGAAACCAAGGAATGTTAGACGTGTGTGAGAAGGAGTGGGAAGAGCAAGCAAGGAGATACAGTCACAAGTGTCTCAACGTGATCGAATTTGTTGGTTGGGCTGGGATCAAGACCGATGTTCAGCTTGCCAATTATTTGCTCGAGACTGCCATTTCACTAGAGAAGATCATAGTTGATTGCCGAATTCCTCGTTATACTCGAACATCATGGAATGAAGAGCTCTGTCCAATGCCAGGGAACAGGGAAGCTGCTTTACTAAGTGCGAAGGAGCTTAAGAGGAAACTACCTCCCAGAGCCCAGTTGATTATAGTTTAGCGTTTGAAAATCCAATTCAACAGAGCTATTCTGTTGTTATTGAGACCGTCATGTTTGGAGTGCTTGTTTATGTGTAGTTTCTTTATGTAAAATCAATTTCGTTCAGTTGCAACAAATCCCCCTTTTATTCAGTTCTCCATCTCATTCGCTCTCTTTCTCCCTTTTTCTTTCAATAACATTGCTGAATTACATTGATAATTCCTCAAGATTCATCTCTTTCGTCAGAGTTCGGACATAGCTCAAATGTTAAAGCACTAATCATGCATGATATGATGATCATCAAGAAGTACAATATATGCTTGGTGGTAAAAAGAGGAACGGGTGTGATCCGAATCAGATGGATTTGCCATTGTCTTTATCACTGCCTGTGAGGCATGACAAAGAAGAAGAAGAAAATGAGAGTTCCGGCATGATGATCAAGAAGAAGTCCGAAATATCTGCAACGGTTCCAGCATGTGATTTGTTTGCGGGACGAAGCCAAAAGAATTAAGCCAAGCAAGAAGAACTAGATTTTAAGGAAATTGGGGCAAAAGCAGGGGCTTTTAACTGCAGATTCAAAGATGATGCCAAGCTTGTTGAGAAATGTGCCCCGTGTTGAAGATTCGGAGTTCCATGAACTTGAACAACTTATGGCTCCTATGGACGAGAAGGAAAAGAAGGTATTGGATCGAGGTAATCAGATCAGGAAGAGCAGTGCTAATCCTTCTTGTGACTTCTTGGTTGTAGTTGGTTTCTTTCTGTAAGCTTCATCAGTTTTCTAGATGACTTCAAACATGGGATTTGACTATCATGACCAATTGCCATACAGGCATTTCAACCTGTAGAAAGGTTTCTTTTTATATTAGTATTAGTTGTGAATTTATGTAAGCATGAAGAGTTCAAAAGAAAAATAATTTTCTTATATATTTGTGAATACTTATATTTTGTATCTAGGTTTTCAAGTAGTGTATTAATCTTTGAATAAATTATTAACTTTATATATAATTAAAAGCCAAAAACTATGCGTCTTTATTCAACTAAATATCAAAGATGCCAAAGCATATTTTCTTCACGAAGGGAAGTTTCTAGCAACATTAATGAAGTAACAATTAAAATAACACCAAATAAAATGATATATATGGATAAAATAAATTAAGTCAATTTATAAAAAAAAATAATAATAAAGTTTGTTAGAAGAGAGAGGAAAATGTAACAAAATATAATTAAAATTTATTTAAAATGATTAAGTTGTTAAAAGAGAGAAATTATGGAAAAAGAATTGGTTAGTGGAGAGTTGAATATGAACATGGGTAAAACCCGAATATCCATACGACTGATTAATTCGTTTTAATTAGGCATGCTAAATAGGAGACAAAAAAATGAGTAATTAAGTTTACGAGATTTATCGCTATTTCACTTGTCTCCCCCCAAACTTTTGAAATGCTCATATACCTCCCTTGATAGAAAGAATATTAGGACCTATTGCTGATAGAAGGTGTTACGGATTGACTACAGTACCATTTCTCTTTGGTGTTACTAAAGACACAATTTGACATAAAACATTTCTATGACAAATAAAAGAAAAAAATGTTATGGTATACAACCAGATTACAGCAATGGTGACAGATTATTTGCAGCAGCAGTGAACTAGTTCTTAACAAGAAATTGAATGGAACAGGAATTTGAAAGAAAATAATGAATTCGGCTTCTCATTAATAACTTGGGAAATCAATTACAGAAACAGAAACAACGGATTCAGAGTGAAGGGGAAAGAATGAAGCAAAAAATGTGAGAGAGAGAAAGGAGGGAGACTAGCAGAGCCAAGTCTCCTTTTACAACCAATTGGAAAAAATGACAAAACTTAGCTATCACTAGGATCCTTTGATGGCCATTTCCGGACTAACTAACTTCTAAACAGGCCAATAAGGTAAGGACATGTGGGATTCTAGAATAATCAGCTCCACTTGCTCATAACAGAAGCACAATTCAGTTGTGCTAGGAAAAGGCGTGGTTTTAAAGTCACGCCTTCTCCTTTCTTCAAGCTGATCGACACCGCCTTCTTTGTAAACTGGAACATGCCTTCTTCTTTTTTCAAGCTGGACTGGGAAGATCTCCCTGCAATTTCTCTACACTCCATGACAAAAAACAGAATTAATCTGAATCAAAAAACTTATTCGACTGTCTTTAGAAAATTGGGTTTACAAAGGCACGTTATTCTGACAAGACATACAAGACATCAAATTGGTTATATCTTATATCTACTCGTGAGTCATGGCACATTTTACGTTAATGAATTCATGATCAATAATTGGTAGGCAAGTGACAAGATGGTTGTGATTTTAATCTCATATGTTCTATTTTAACAAGTGATAAAGAATGAATAAGGAGGGGTTAAATCCGCATCCCACCATCTTAAATCTGCACAAGATACAACTTTTAATACTAATAGCATAAGTAATCAATTTACATGGCACAGGTGATTAATACATTAAAGGTGTAGATTTAGACGGTAGAGATGTGAATTTAATTCGTAACAACATGGTGCATGGTACATGTTTAGGTTATAAATAATTTACATGGTTCATGTTCTAATCACGCTTAGATGATATTGTTTAGGTTATAATCAGTTGTAGGTGGACAAGTAACATAAAACCTACACTTTTTTTAATACTTTTTATTATTGATCATGGAAATAATATGTTTATGATGTGGACAAATAGCCATTGAGTGATATAAAGGGATTTAGTTGCAACATAAACTATTAAATACAATAGTACATGGCTTAGATGTTGGACTTTTATTCTGTTCAGTTAGCATGAAAATTAGCCGTAACAAGAAGTAGCCATTGGTGCTTCTAATCATCTTAAGATTGCTCCTGTAAATGCTACATTATGCATAAAATTTCACCTATGCCCTATTTATTTATTTATTTTTGTATTTCAACTTTTAATTGACATAATATTTTCTTTAGAAAAATTGTTGGAGGAAATAAAAAGAGCATTCTTGGTACAAAATTCAATTCTCTATCCCAAAAACAGTTTTTTATTTCACATTTTGCAAAATTAGACCGATATATTACAAAATTATTCCAAATAAGAGGGGCATATGAGATTTTCAAAACTTCACAGAAACATGTGAAATTGTAACAAAACCTCACAGGAGGTTTCTAAAATTATCCCACAAACACATGTATTGACTCCATAAGAAGTACAGCTAACTAGTAGAGTAGTATTTAAGTAAAGATTGTGTTTTCCTCATCAGGCAGCTCTTTTCCCTAGAATTCGTTCCCATACCATGAAGACAAGTTCAAAAGCTTCACAATCGCAAACTTGTTCCAGTCATATAACCATTAGGATTAGAAGATAATTAACCATAACTTCTGTCCCGTTTAATTTATGGTGTTATGAAATAGCTTTAGTATGGGGCCAATTATATCTCTTCCTGACACATTTTGTACTTGCAACCAAAAAATCACAACTTCGGAAATTGTATTAATTAAAATCACTACTTATTAGGATTTGGGAATAAACTTTAATAGAAACGGTGGTATTTGATGCTTATTTTCAAAACAGAATCCAAACCAAAGCTGAGGACGACTGTACATCTTTATCTACATTTCTTTCTTACAACCGCATACTTTCTACTACAATTCTCTGCTTATTAAACCAAATCATCAGTCTTATACTCTCTGTAATCCAAACTTTTCTTCTGCAAACACCTTCCTCTCGCTTCCCCTCTTCTATCTCTCTTCATCTTCATTAAGTATTGATACAGAGAAACCTTTTCTCTTCTCCCATTTCCATCCCTTTTCAAGTTCTACTCTCCCCCTATTTCGAATCTTGATCTTGTACCTTTTTTTTTATGTTGCTTGAAGGAAATCTTTCCCAGTAACAGAACAAGTCAAAAAGGTTCCTATGAATGGTACAAAGGAGGTAATGAAAATACTTATTTACTGCCTATTTGTAAAACCATTTATGGTTTGATTTTGAGCTGTAGAATAATTAGGTCCTCCACTTTAGTATTGATGCTCTTTCCTTTGCGGATATCTATGCTTTCCTTGTAGGAATCTACTGAAAGCTCTGAGAGGCGTAGGGGAAAATATGGATTTCAAGGTGAGATCCCATGAATTGCTATGTCCACATTTTCAGTAAGTGCAAAAAAAGCAACGACATTATTAACAGTCTAATGTGCTGTACCCTTTGTTGCTTTCAGTTAATTCCAAAGTTGGCAGAAATGTGGCTTCCCGGTGCACAACTCTCAGAATCATCTCCAGAAAGTTCGAGTTAGTGATGGATACATGGTTATGTAAGTCATTGCTTCTAATCCGCTTTAAGACAGTTTTTGCTCTTGCAACAGAATTCATGCTTCACAGCTATTTCAAATAATTCTCTTCAGGGTTTTGCAAACTGTGACCAGAAACTTTATTTGCTTTTTCGTCATATTGCGTTTCTTGTCTTCTGATAATTTGGCTGGCAAAAAGCTTAATTTTCATGTCTTGTAAGTTCAACAAGCATAGTTTGAGTTTTGGTGTAAAATCAGTTTTTGTCCATGTGCTTAAAATTCTAGTGAATCATTCAATTTGTATTTCTCTCCTTACAGAGCTGGAATATTACTTATGCAGACATTATGAATAGGTCCATTAGAATTATAAGCCTTAACTCTTGGCCAAGAATCTACAGAGAGAGAGTGTGTGATAAGAACAAGGTTCTCTCAAAATTAATACATCATATGAATAACTGCATTTAAAACCTTGAATTCAGGGCTTCAAGAGGTCAACGTAACTCTAGACCTGGAACATTTCAAGAAGATCTGTCAAAGTAAGTGAATTATTATTTTTTATCTTCGAACTGTGTGACTATGTTGCTGTTTTTATTATTTTTTATCTTCAAATTGTGTGACTATGTTGCTGTTTTTGTTGTTATGTTTATGCAAGCCAAATGCGGAAACACGTTCACCATCCCAAAGGAAAATGATAGAATTTTAAGCACATTAGATTAAGCATGAGAACTTCTCATTTCATTTCAACTTATTACCTTATATATAGCAGAAAATGAGTCTGCTCTATGCCACTCTAGAATTCTTCCAGCATTATAATTGCTTAAGTTATGTGTTGACTCTGTTTCTTGCGGAAACCTTTGATATGGAAACTCTGAAGGGTGAGAAGGCTTTTGTTAAATATCTTGTAGAATCTTGAAGGAAGTTTCCTTATGCAGGTCAGGTAGGAAAATATTCTGTAAAAATCATGAATTTTTGTGATGTCATTTGATGCAGATATGGATACTCTTTACCGATTATTATGTACATTTTCTTCTGTCTCTCTTTCTTCCCCAGTGTATATTTCTATGTCCACCTCTCTCTGCAGCCGTAGGCACACTTTCAAGTCTGCCCTCCCTTTGTAGAAGCTACATGCTATTGTTCATATTCAATCAGGATGTACTCGAGTTTGTACATGGAATATTTTTCTTGGTGATTCAATGCGGGGCATATTAGGATGGTAATTACCATCAGCACCACGTCATATTTGCATCGACTGGTCTATTTTACAGTTCATTAAAAGAATAATTTAGAGCATATAGTTTCCTTTCCTAAACTAGATATTAATTTTAAATGGATGTCTAGGTTGAAAGGACCTTAAACTCACATGGTGTTTGTGGCTTCAATAAGCCACCTGCTGGTTCTGCTGCTTCGTCCAACAGAAAGGAGGAAAAGGCCAAATGTTCTTCAACAAAACATGTTGCATCAGTAATTCCAGTGGACAAACTGCTCAACACGATGTTTCTTCTTCTAGCAAGAGTGACTCAGATAGAACTACAGCAGATAATGTTTCTAGGAGAAAACCTGATCGAAGAAAATCTTTTACTTCTTTACTGATGTCACAATCAAAGGTCACTGCTGGCCTTTTCTTCCTATGGACTTCTGTTTCATCCTGCTAGAGGCTTAAATGTCTTCATATTTTTCTGCGCTACTAAAGGAACCTGAATTTCCCTTGTAGGATGATTTGCCAAATATCTATGATAATCATAATCCTCTTGAAGTTACTGAATATGTTGATGACATCTATCAGTATTACTGGGTTTTGGAGGTGATTTTCGACCTCATTTCTTCATTATGTTATTTTAATTCTACCTGTTAATGTGATTTCTCCTGGAGTTATAGACACATTCAAAGCATGTCTATAAATGCAAGGTTAATTTTTACTTTTTTAATCACATCAATGTTTTTGTCTAACATTATGGAAATTGGCTCTTAACACAGGCACATAATCAGCCGTTGAAACATTATTTGGATATCCAGAGTGAAATTACACCTCAAATGCGTGGCATATTGATCAACTGGCTCATTGAAGTTTGTTTTCTTATGATAAACATTTTCTTAATGCTTTTTGAACTTTTTTCCTGTTTTTTCTTATTACCACCTTTTTTTCAGGTACATCTAAGGTTTGATTTGATGCAAGAAACACTTTTTTTGATGGTTACACTATTAGACCAATTTTTATCCTTGGTAAGCATCGGGAAGAACAAAATGCAGTTAGTTGGCCTTACTGCACTCTTGCTGGCATCAAAATATGAGGATTTTTGGCATCCAAGGGTAAATTTATGCATGAATACAACTTCTGCAAGTTTCTTATACATAATATACTGTTGTGCAATTGAGGTAGTTCATGAAGGGTCAACTTTCTTTGGTTCTTGGCTACAGATCATGGACTTAATTGGCATTTCAGCAGATTCATACACAAGAGATGAAATGCTTGGAATGGTGAGTGAATTGCATGTTTACAATATTTATCAGCAGGTTTTGATCTAGCATCTCCAAGTAGGTATTCAAATAGTACAAGTTTGTGCTTGTTTGCTCTTGGTAGACCAGTCAAGCAAGGCACTTTCTTATATAGTACCTGTCTTCTTTCTAGGAGAATACTTTTCTAAAGGCACTCAAATTCCGTCTGAATTCACCAACTCCGTATGTCTTTATGCTACGGGTCCTTAAGGCTGCTCGATCAGATACAGCGGTATGTCACAGACCTTTTCCAATGTAGGTTGATTAAACAGACTGTTTTCAAGGATCTTTAATAAGTGCTTCAGAAGGGTATCATTTCGTCTGTATTTTTGGTGTTTGTGGATCACATCTGTAACTTTCTTATCTTTTTGCCTTCCTAGTTGTTTTGATGTTGGTCCCTAATCTGTAACGTCTTTTGTCTATTGGGATTTCTGCCAGTTTGAACATCTTGCCTTTTACCTCATCGAGCTGTGCTTAGTTGAGTACGAGGCTTTGAAATATAAGCCCTCATTGCTATGTGCATCAGCCATCTATCTCGCTAGATGTACAATGGAAATGAATCCAACATGGACCCCGCTGCTTGAGAAACATTCCGGCTACAGAGAATCTCAAATCAGGCAGGTTTTTGCCAGTTGAATATTCTTTATCAGGTTGTATATATCTATCGTGATTTAATCATTTTCAAATTGGAATATTGCAGAAGCTGCGCAGAGATGATCTTGAAATTTCACAAAGCTGCTAAAACAGCTATGCTGAAAGTAACATATGAGAAATACATGAGGTTTGAGTTCGGCAGGGTTGCAGCTATAAATCCAGTAGAAGTGCTTCCCCAGTGCAGTCATGAAAATCAATGTTACAAGAATTGAACAGAGCTAAAATTTAGATGATGGGCTGCTTATATAATGAGCTGAAACCAAATCCATTGTAATCTTGCCCAGACATGCGACTCAATTGTCGCTGAAATTGTTGAACATAGATGTTGTATTGAGAAATATGATTCTAAATGGTAGGAGCCAGACACTGGTTTGGACGTATTGTGCACTATAATTAGATTGAAGCCTTATATCGGACCTGAGCGACACCAGTTTTACTCCGCAGGAGGTGTACGCTTGGTAGGAAATAAAGCAAAAGGCCAGCCTGAAAATGACTATCATCCAATTTCAATGTGGCAACAAAATGTGGAGTGCTGTTCAAGCTGAACTCCGTGGTGCTTACAGACAATACGAGGAGTATATATATCACTAACTGCAGATGATAAAGAAGGGACAGCTCTAAGCTAGAAAGACAAGTGAAAATTGCATAGCCCAACTAATAAAAATTTGCACACACTGTGCTCTCTTTGATCAGTCAGAACATTAAGACGGCTCGGTAAAGAACTCAAAGATGGTGATTGTTGATGGATACCACTACATTGCAGACAGAGACATAGAGAAAGTTCTAGAGAAAAGAGGAACTGAACGAAATTGTAACAGCAGAAAAATAATAGACATCGGCAGGCTTTATTAGAATCAACAGTTAACAGAAGCTATACATGCCGCCATTCGAATCTTATTAGCAAAACAATGCCGAAATCCTTCAGCACAACTACAAAGTATATAATCGGTATACGTGCGTGTGTGTACTCGTGTTCCTTTGCTGAAGTTATCGTGAACTGCCAAGTGACGCTGACACTGGCATAGAATAATGCATAGCATTTGCATTTGCGTGCAATAACTAATAGTAATAATGCCCTGAAATACGTGTTCTCTATGAACAAGGAATTAAGCAATCTTGAGAAATCAACGATGTTTCTCTGTCCAAAGTCTCCTTGACGGCTCGGTAAAATTCAACCAGGAAGAAGAATGCACGTCGGCAGGTCCCCAGAGAAATGTAGGATTTGGGCTGGTAGGACACGAAGCAACCAGGTCGAGCACAGAAGCCGCAGGTTTTAGGGGCTGTGGGAAGTTGAATGCCAAGTTATCAACTTTGTGCTCGTAGATTTTACCGTTGCGGTCCAGCTTATACCTGGAGGTGGCCTGGAATTCCCCCTGGCCTCCCAGGGGACCCGAGGAACACCCCTCAAGTTCCATCTGATCAGAATCAAATTCTCAGACGGCTGCCAAATCCTAAGTACTTGAAGTGAAATCTCCCTAAACAAGATTCTGCCGTGGAATCTCAAAGCCCAGAAGATCAGTTTGTACTTTTCAATCCCAGCGAAGGTGTTCAATGGGTCCACGAATGTGATGTCATCCCTGCTCCTCCGAAGTGCCAAAAGGAAGGAATTTTAGTAGAGCACTTGCTACCAATCCATTATTCAGCTGATACAGTATTTATATATTTATCCACAAAAAGTGTGGCCAGATTCTAGTTACAAAGGAAGCATGAGTTGAAAGAATTAAGTGGAAAAGGGGAAAAGATTACCTATAAATGCCATAATTGAGGTCTTTGGTGAAGAGGAGAGGGAGGTCTTCCCTTAGGGTACGCACAGCCAGACCCAGGTTCACAAAGAAATCATCCCTGTGGTCATGTTCATGCTGCTTATTATCCTGAGGAGAAGCAAGAGCAACGGCAGCAGTCGCGGTGGCACAGGTGGTGGGGTGGTGGAGGAGTAGGTGGGGGGCGGGTGCTGCAGCTGCTGCTTGGTGGGAACAGAAAGAGAGGAGGCCTGCCTAGGAGGCGGTGGGGTAGAAGCAGAGGAGGAGAGGAGGGGTGGAGTGATTTTTCCTTGGAGTGGATGATTGTCGGGGAGAGGTTGGGCAAGATATATGCCATCCCAGGGCTAAGTAGCGATTTGGCAGAATTTGTGTTCTTCTTCTTCGCCTGTGCTTTGATATACCAAAATTAAATTAAAATAAAGTCCCAACTGACAATTTATGGTGGGACTAATATACTGTAGTTCTGAAACGAACGCAGACCTCTGTATCTATTATCTTTTGATGATGAGGAGGGTCCTATTCGTATCTATCTTCGAGGCCAAACAGACAGACTCTCTCCTATCGCGTCGCAGGGCGCGCAGCAGAGAGAGAGTATCGACGAAGAAGAAATGAGAAAACAGGAAGACAGAGCTGGTCGATTTTTGCATATTTTGTTGTGCTCCGGAGAAGAGTCGTAGGATTTTGAGTGGTTTTGATTGAAGGATGCCACGACACGGCTGCATTTGTCAAAATTCAATCTTTCAGTTCCGAGTTCGACACCCCCATCTTCCATTTGGTCTTCTTCAGGATATGTAATGTAACCAACCCATTTTACACTTTTGGGCCCTGGAAACATATGTCAGTCCAATTAATTAGATTAAAAAACAATAGCCCATTCGCGTGGCCTTAACTCCCTCCCCTCTTCCACGTCAAAATTATCTCGCCTGGATTGAGAATGACTCGACCCACCGTCTTTGGATAATTGAGTAGAGTTTCCAGTCCCGTTAGGATTGCGCATTCTTTTTAACCGAACAAATTTCTCAATTACTTTTCTTACCTCAAAGTTGGTGATTCTGCAGAGACTCTAATTTGTTGCCTCCCAAGAGACCAGACCAACCTATACCTATAGTAAATTTTCCTTCATCACTAATAATACACTAGCGTATTAGAATTTACAATTGTGGCAACTCCCGTTTCTGTTTGGTGGGGGTCGAACAATGGCACTCTAATCTAATCGACCCCCAGTAGTCCAAAGAGAGCAACAATAATGATAAAAACAAGAAAGAAAAAAAAGGTAAAAATCTACTGCTGCTTAAGAATTGCATCAAAAAAACAAAAGAATTGCATAATAGCAGCGGTAGTATTTCGTAATTTTGCTTAGGATCGATCAGAAGGTGTAGGGATGTGAGGGAGGAGGCTCAGAACATTTGATTGGTAACGTCATCAACAAAGCCCTCTGAAGAAGCTTTTCAGAGTTTGATGGTATTTCCCGCATCACTGCCCCCTCTTCTTCTCCTTTTCAAGTCTCAACAGCTACCCACCACCCAAAAACCCCCCCTTCCTCCCCCCCCCCCCCCAAAAAAAAGAAAAATAGAAAAACTCTCCCAAGAGAGCGCAGGTCTGCGGCAATTTTGGGAGACTCACTGGAGACCTCAGAATATAGGCTTTAAGAATCATCAGAGAAAGGATCTAAGTGAGATCCTCAATCAGATGGTACGGACAATTTTACCAATACATCACAGGTCCCAAATGTGCGTGTGTGCGCGCGGACTAAAATATTAATAAAGAAAACTGAAAACATTTGGATCTCACGTATGGTTTTACTCTTTTGCTAATGTTAGTGCGTGTTTCTCTCTGGAGCCGCTTCCGGCGATGGACCGACGGACGGATGTTGCTCTCATCCAAGTCCTGGAACCGGAGGACGACGACTCTGAGTTTCGGTAATGGCTGTACATACACACACACACACACACATATATATATATATATAGTACTACTCCACCAACCTATTATATATATATAGTAAAAGGAGGCGCGACTCAGAAAACCCTAATTCATATCTTGTACCGCTCAAATTACCAAAATGCCTCCCCCTCCTCTCACTGGATTTATTTGTACGGCCCACCAAATGGCCAAATCCTGCTGACTAATAAATAAATACCAGGGATAATTTCAGAAACCTCCCTCAAGGGAGGTTTCTGACAATTTCACATAGCTCCTTCCAATTTTAGAAAATTACACTAACTTCCCTCAGTTCAATAAAATGACTACAATACCCTCTACTTAATAGATAATTTATCACATATGTGGAATACAAAAACCAAACCAAAAGTAAAAGAAAAATATAAAAGCTTGCAATAGCTCATCATCATTTCCAAGTTCCAACCCTATTTTAATTAACAGCAGTTTCTTTTCTCTTTTCCTCTATTTTTTTCAACCTCTTATGATTCTCTCCTTCCTACTTATAATTGCACAGTCTCCTCCACCCATCAATTACACCACTATGCAAACTTATCATAAGTGTTTATTTCTTGTCTCTTTCTTTCTTTCCGCAGTACTTAACTATCAGTCCCCTCGTTTATTTCTTCTCGTATTATAATTTGCATATATTAAAGAATTAAAATTTCCAAAATTACAAATTGATGGAGCAAATGAAAATTTCATAGTCAAATTAGATGGAGATGATGAAAATGGTTGTGATATAGAAGGAAAAAAATGAAATTAATGGATTATGATTGGAAGAGAAAAATGAATGATTTTGGGTTATGCTATTATGTCTATACACACTAGAATCTAATATCTTTATTTATTTTTATTTTTGTTTGATTTATAAGTACTGATGGTGGTTTGTCATAAAAGTTAGTTCTCTATTCATAACGACATTAGAGTATGGGATTGCTCTTGGCAGAAACATCAATAGTGGTTGGCCAGATCTTCTGTTCAAGGAATGTGATATGAGATAGGTGTTGGGTTAATAATTTGCGGAGTGAGATTAGCCAATAGACAAAATATAGTGTTAATTTGAAGCGGGAAGCTTTTGAGAGTATTTTAGTTGATGGTGGTGGTTATGGTCTATTTGTAAAGTGATTCGGGCAGAGTTTGGGATTTTAATGATGCCAAAATTGATAGAATTTGGGAATTAAATTGGAGTTTGCTTGAATGGGGGTGATGAGATTTTGGGTTTACAATTATCGTGGAAGCATAGCAAATTTAGATAAAAGTGTTTGCTACTTTTTTTTTTTTAGTTAAATTGATCACTAAGCCTTTTTTTTCACTTTCTTTTGATGTTATGATATTGCATAAGGGTATTTTAAGATACTTATGTATAATTTTAGCCTAATGGGTCTATAATGTTACTTAAATAGTAAAAGTAAGGGAGATCAATGTAATTTTTTAAAATAAGGGAAAGCTGAGTGAAATTGTTAGAAATCTCTAAGGAAGGTTTCTGAAATTATCCCTAAATACCAATTGAATCCACCCCTTCGACCTAAG